CTCAGTTTGCGCACATGCACGTGGGGCAAGCATGGTGGGTGTGGATGTTTGTTCTGCTCTCACACCCCCAGTGATGTCATTTTCCAAAAAACTAGGAGGGACTTCCTTACCCCTGGGGTGTGAACACTAAGAAAGCAGAAGGGCCAACACCGAGGCTCGCGGGACGTGGAAATCAAGGAGGAGCTGAACCCCGAGTTAGGGGTGGAGGGGAGAGGCCGGGCTGGACAGAGCAGAGGACTGGGGGTGGCCTCTGTTTCTGCGTGGGGGTGGAGGCCTCTCCCAGGCAGGCCCATCCCTGGGGCCCGGCGCTGGGGAATCCCCCAGGGAAGGCAGGGAGTGTTTTGCAGGATGTTCACAAGGACTGTCCAGGAGGCCTCAGCCAGGGTGGAGCTCTTGGTCCTGAAACCTCACCTCCTTCCCTTCCCCTGCAGCTTCTAGCCTCCTGGTTCAGGTCTCTAACTGCTGGGAAGGCAGCCAGCAAAGTGGGTCTAAAGATGGAGCAGGACCCAGCAGGACGAGGTGCAGGGGTTCATCAGTGGACACTCCAAGCCTGCTCTGCAGAGGGAAGGACGGCCGGGCCTGGCTTCCCAGCGACTTGGCAGCACACTTCATCACCACGGCCGCCTCCCAGGGTGGATGGTCCTGTCTACCAAAGGCCTGGAGGAGCGAGCAGGAGGTGCCCAGCAGCTCCAGGCCAACCCCCAGGAGCTGGACCTGTGCCTCCTCTCTAAGTGGCAGGAGACACGCTCCCTGCCCCCACTGCGTAGGGAAGGATCAGCGAGGCCCGGGAACTTGGGCACCACAGATACTTGAATGGGTGGGTAGGCTTATCTGAGTCAGCCTCTCACCTTGGCCCACGTTTTCTTCTGAACAACAGAAAACTGAGGGAAAGCAGACCAGCTGCCTTCATGTGTCAAGCAGATTCTCCTTCCTTCTCCTCCTTCCCCATCAACGCAGACACTCCCAGGCCTTTGCCAGCCTCATCTAGTCTGTGGACTCCACTCTGAAATACATCCCTTCCGCTGCTGCTCCCACCCTGGGGTGAGGCGCTGTGGCTACTGCCTGGGTGCCAATGACCTCCTGGCCAGCCTCCCATTACAGCAGCTTCTGCTCCCATTACCCACTGTCCCCGCAAAACCAGGCGGATCTCCCAACAGGAGTCAGAGCTGCCAGCCCAGTTGAGGGGACTTTGTCAGTATTACTATTGTAAGTATTTGCTCATATCAGCTGCACAGATGAGTGGGCATCCCTGGGACCCTTCCACACGGGGGTCCGCCGTGTTTTTAACAGCATCCCCCTCCCTACCTGCCTCCTGGAGACCCTTCCCTTCCCTAATAGTGCCCCTTGCACTTTCCGGTTATTTGCTTGTTTATTGGATGATTTATTGTAATTTCCACATGTGATGAACTTTCCCAGAGCACTTTTCACAGAACACAAAGGCCTTACTGCCCTGCTTCCCTGGCCTCAGCCTGGACAGCAACCTCTGGCTTTCCCCTGCCCTGGCCACACCGTCCTGCCTTGGCTCTTGCTGCAAGCCCCGCTCGAGGACCTCTCAGCCTTCTCCCTAACTCCCTCTTGGGCTTGAGCTGTTCTCACGCCCTCTACCTCTTCTCATCCCCTGTCCGGCCTAACACTCCGCTCCTGACAGCCTTTCCTGGCCCTCAGTGCACAAGCAGTGCTCTCCAGTCCCCACCTGCCGTTTTTCCGTCTTCGTTGGTGCCTTGCCTAGGATGTGAGCCCCTGAGAGCAGGGCCCCGATCTCCCGCTGTCCGTCCTCACTGCTGGCTGGATGAGTGTCGCAGAGGGCAGAGGCAGAACCTGTGGCCTCCCCCGTGGTGATAAGGGAATATTTTACACCTTTACAAAATGCGCATGGATTGGGTGCCACTGTTTCTGCATCAGCCCCCAGAACCTTACCCTGGGCAGCTCTAGCAGCCTGTATGGTGGGGAGTGGTTCCACATCGAGGCGGCTCTGCCTCTTCTCCACCAGGTTTTGAAGGCACCAGAGAGAACACTGGATCGAACGTCTTTGCATCTCTAGTGGGCAGGTGAAGAAAGGAGTTCAGGTAAATAGGAAGCTGTGCCTCAGAACCAGGCGCCTGGAACCTTATCATGCTCTGCTGCCAATCTTGGGGGATTCTAGGCCCTCCTTAGAGCTCAGTTTCCTCTCCTGAAAAAGGAAGGATTTTGTCCTAGGGAAATGGACAAAAGAATTTAGACACATTTAGATAGATGCTGGAGAAGGCCATTAAAAATATGTGGAGGAAAATCTGGAAAAGGATTATAGCCAAAGTAAGTCCTTTCCCACATAAATACATTCCAAATTATGCAGCAAATGTTGAAGTTACTGGGGAGGGATGTCCAGTGGCTAGAAGCAGAGCTCACCTGGGGGGCTACGATGGCTTGCTTTCATCTTCTCCTTTTCTTTACTCTCCCAGGTACAGTCAGGGAGGATGCAGGGTTTTCATAGTGCCGCCCCCTCCCCGGGTTAATAGGCTATAAAATGCTCTGAGATGCTGCCCCATAGTCTCCGGGCTCGCTCCTGCCTGCCAGGCAGTGCTGGAAAGCGCAGGGACGCACTGGCTTGGGGCTTATCTGCATGGCTTCTTGGTGGGCATGGGCAGCCTGGCCTCTCTGAACACTGCATTGCCATGGACGGCCGTCCTGGGAGCCAAGGGAGGCCAGGCAGAGGACTCTGAGGAAAGAGGGCCTCTCCTATCCTGGGTTACTAATGGAGGTGCCAGAAGTCACACCTTGCCACCCATGGGTGTGTTGTCCTGCGAGGACATCAGCATCAAAAAGCAGACCTGGGACAATAGGAAAATCGAAACACAAACAAGCATCAGCTTTTATTGACTTTCTTGAACCCCAGTCCAGCTGGAGCCCTCTCCCCAGATCTCGGCCCGCCACCCTCTCCTCCACGCCTGAGCCAGTTCAGCGCACTTGTCACAACAGACTCCAGCTCGTGCGTACAGCCTGCCATCGTGCTGTGAGGGGGCAGTGGATCAGCAGGCTCCAGGGGAACGGCGTTGGCACCTCATTTTCTATACCAAGGGCCTCAAATTCTGACTCTTGGACAAAATCAGAGCCTTAGATCCTCCTTGTGTGAATTATTCTAGTGATGGTGTTGACATACTGTCATCCAAGTGCTAAAGAATGCTAGAATAAACATTCTAAAGAAGCAACCTGTTTCCATTGAGTGCTAGACTTTCACCGTCTGCCTAGAGTTCAATCTCAGCCTTAGTGAAGCTTGGCTTTGAGCCTCCAGCTGCTCAGACAAGTGCAGACCAACTTTTGTGCCTTCAAGATGCATGCAATGTCTTCTCCAGAACCGGACCTGCATTCCAGTCCCACTCGCCTCTGAGCTGCAGCCTCTCCAACACACCAATTCTGACATCCGGGCCCTGGGCTACTATTGGAGTCCCCAGTTTTCACTATCCTCAGAGTTCAGTCCTTAGAGAACTACAAAATCCTTTAGAAGCCTCCTAACCTTCCTGGGATTTGAATGCTCCATCTGCCTGCAGTTGTTCTCTGTCCTATATACCAGGCATTGAGCTAGACTCCTGGTGTACCAGGATGGCAAAGCTATCAGCCCTGTCCCAAGGAGCACCAGCTCATGGGGATGCAGGTAACAGCAGTGCCATGTTACACAACAGAAACAACACTGGGTGCTTTCAGGAAGAAGAGATGCCTGCACTAGCTGGAGGAATCTGTAGCTAAGCTTAGCCTTAAATAGTGAACACCGGTCATACAGGTTGCACACATACAGCTTAAACAGAGACCTGGAGATCAGAAATATCAGGCAGCAAGCAGAAAAACAGCAACTGTGTGTCACTAAGGCCTGAAGCAGTCTCTGGAATAAGGCCAGAAGGGAATATAGGGGCTGAGCTGGGAGACAGAGCTCCACAAGGTCAGGGGTAAGATCCAGCATGAACCTGGAGGCATGGGGGCTGGTGGGAGATCTGATGGATAGATGTGTGATCCCATATGCCTCCACATCCCCTTAGAGTCAGAGGGACCTGCAGGATGTTGAGGGGGGGAGCTCTGCCCTTTCCCCGGCTTCCCAGTGCCAGAGCCGCCAGGCGCACCAGACACCTTGGAGCTTGACCTCTGTTTAGCTCCAGGGCATCATACCCCCATTGTGGCAGGGCTTCCCTGTGCCCTCACCATCCCCCAGACCTGTCCCTGGGATCTCACATGGGCCTCCGCTGAGGCCAGGGAGCCGGGATCTGCACAGTGCCTGCCACGAGGCTGTGAGCTGCTCACATCTGGAGCGATGCCGCCATCACGGTCCAAACCCAGCTCTGCTCACTGTGCAGATGCTCTGAACGGCTCACGCCTCGGCTAGGATCAAGGCTAGATCTCGTGGCACTTTCAAGTTTATATCCATATTTTGTGGCCACTTTTTCTGTTTTACAAGACTGTGAGAGGAAGGGCACCTCCAGACCCTGTGCCAAGAAAGGCAAACAAAGGTAAACAGGGCTTAATTCTACCCCAGGAGCTGGAAGCCATCGCAGCAAACGCATGACCATCTTTTTCAATGAAGAACCCAGACACTAAGACGCAGGAAGACTCAGTAACACCACCCGGTTTCCTAGGACCCTAGGACTGACTCTGCTTTAGAACCTGCACTCCAGTCCCCCACCCCTGCAAGTTCCATGGCCCGCAGCCCAATCCTGATCCCGAGGCTCGGAGAGAAATCACCCCTGGGACATGCTAATCAGACTCCGGGCTGCTGCTGACACAGCGGCGAGTCTGGCTAGACTTCCGCATTGGCTTGGTCCCCTCTGAGACCATCTCCCTGATTTTAGAGGGGACTTTACGACCCAAGTGCATGATCAATCCAGCTCTTGTTTTTTAACAAGGAATTAGGGAAACGTGAGAGACACTGGTGAACAGTCTGTCTGATCGCAGCCTTCAGCCTCAGCAGGCTGACTCCTCATACCCGCAGCAGTCAAGGACCAGAAAAGCAGCCTCCAAATCCCCAAGCCTCCCCTCACCTGAGCAGGGCTCCCGTTGTCACGGCACTGGCCGGCTCAGCCCGCAGGGTCCTGTGCTTTCAGCATGGCTTGTTTGGGAAGCAGCGGAGTAGCGTGCAGTTTCCCCAGCGAGGCAGCCTTCAAAGCATCGTCCAGACTGCAGAATGAAATCTGGACGCGGGAATCCTCGCAGGGCTGTGGGGCGCTTGGCACTGCCTGGCGCAGCCAGCCGCGTCCGGGCTCCATCCAGACTGCTGACCTGGCACGGGCGCTGCGTGATATGACTCGCTCACACGGGAAGCTTTAACTGTCTGTTCCCCACACCCATAGCCCTCAAGTCTCTCCAAGACACATCCTCCAGCGACACCACAATTCCCACGCTCTACTCTCTGCCAGGGCTCTAGCCTTCAGGGGTTCACAGCCAACCCCCGCAGAGCATGCCAGCCAAGAATTCATCGTTTCTCACTGAGGGATTATTAATCCCAAGTTTTCTGCTTATGTCTCTCTTTCATTAGTTAAACCAATTAAGATTAAGCATGAAGATATTTATAAACATCCTAGAGCTGTTACATAAATTCCTGTCAATTGAAGTCATTTTATTCTTAAAAAAGAAATCCAGCCACCTTTCCTTTACTCCTGTACGGCATGCTGTTCTCATTTAATTCACATGACTTTAGAGTGGTATATGGAAAGGATGTGACTGAGGGGACATGGCTATCTTTTTAAAAATGTAGCCACATTAGGCATTGATGATGCACACCAGAATCTGGATTGTGTCTTGGAGGGGCGAAGGAATCACGAGAGGAGCAGAGGCGCTGGGTTGAGACCTGGGGAGCCGCCTTCACTGTGCAGGCTTGTGACAGTCATTGGGTCCCAGGACTCAGGAGTCCCTGGCTGGCAAGAAGTCAGGCTACTTGATTGCCACCGTCCCTGCCAGCTCACCATCCTAGTATTTTACTTTCTCAGACCCAAACACACCCACCTTGCTGGTAGCTGGTGGAGGCAGTGAAACCGTTACCAGCTTCGCTGCAGATTCAGGGCTTGAGTCCACCCCCCTCCCTTCTTAGCTCTGGGAAAACCGTACCACAGTGGGGCCTCCGTGTTCTCACTAGGAGATGGGAGAACACGGCCCATCAGGTGGACCGACACAGCCCCAGCAGGACATAAATGGGTTAATACCAGAAAACCACCTGGACCTGTTCTCAGTCCACGTCTGTGCTCCATGAAGGTTGGCTGTTATTATTGCTCCATTCTGTGGTTCTGATTTCACCACTGTTCTCCTACTGACTTCCTATCTAATCAATCCTGGATATGCAAATATTTTGTCTTCAATGGACCCTCCACATCCAAGGGTTCTAACCATGGTTTAAAAGTACTCAGGAAAAAAAAATAATTGTGCCTGTTCTGAACATGCAGATTCTTTTCTCTTGTCATTATTCCCTGAATAATACAATACAACAAACTAGTACATAGCATTTGCATCAGGTATAATAAGGTATTTGCATTAGGTGCGACTGTTTCATAGTGTCATATCAGGTCTGGTAAGGGAAGGATTTAAAACACAGACACGAGTTCTATGCACAAACTGTGCCATTCATCCCAGGAACTTGAGCATCCACAGGTTGTGATCTTTGTGGGGTCCTAGAACTAATCTTAAGTAGATTCTGAAGGACAACTATGTATGTGTGAGTCATGGTGTTAAAGAAATAGGATTCTGTTGATGTTTGCAAAGATAAGGTCACATCTGTGTTTGGCAGGCAGCGTTTTGTCTCAGCAAAATTCCACACACGTACTGAGCACTTACTGTATGACACAGCACTCTTTAATTGCGGTTTCTTTATTATCTATATGTTTTAGGGCACTCTATGAAGTGTTTTCCCTTTTTACTAATCATTTAAAATGCCCTCTATTTTAAAACAAAAATAACACCTATGCATAAAAAATATGTAATTTTCCAGAAGTTGCCCAACTGGTTACTGTAAATCCAGGATAGGAACCCAGGAGGTCTAGCCCCAAGTCTCGATCACACTGTGACCTGAGTGAAGGAAGGTTGAACAGATAGCAGAAGGCCAGGTTTGCAGCGGGCAGAGGAGCTGGTCCTTCTCAGTGCCTCCTTCAGGTGCAACGAATTCTTACTGGGGCGTGGACCTATGAGCAGGTGTTAAGTACAGGCCTCCAGAAACACTGACTGATGTATTAGTTGTGCAAATGCCACACTGAATAGTGAGAGTAACACTGACGGCAAGACTGAGAACTGGGACCTGGTGGAAAGTGTCTCTGCCATGGCCCCAGCAGGGCCACTCCATCCATGCCCACTCACAAGGCCTAGCATCCCCCCGATGGCAAAGGGGACATGGACATTCCAGCTCCACATCAGGAGGGAGGGGAAGGGAAGATGGAGAGGAAAGGCCTAGGCTGCTGTCTGACACTGTTCTGGGGACAACTCTGGAGGGGCAGTAAGCAGATGAGCAGGGGACTCCACCCTACAGGAGAAGTCCTGGTCCACGGCCAGCCTTAGCCGAGTCGTGGTTTAAGATTTAGAAACAAATAAACAGAAGCCTCCTTCTCCCCACTATCCTGTCATCCATCCAATCTAAATTCATATCGACATGTTGAAGACGCGGCAGGGCTGAGCTCCTCTGCAGCCTCTGTGCCCACCGGAGCGCTCATCCCCAGGAGCAGGGCTCTCATCCCTTCTCATCTCCCGACAACCCCGAGCGCCACGGATACCTGCACACATGACTTGGCACCGCCTGTTTGCCTCCTGTGCAGCCTTCTCTGCTGAGTCCTCGTGTCACCCAGACGTCCTCAATCATCCTCACACCTGTTTCTCCTGTGGGTCCCTGGGGACACAGCAGTGCCGTGTCACCTTTACTCCCCTGAATTCGAGCCCCGCATTTCTCACCCTCTGGACGGCTGAACTCTGTGACCACAGCATTCCTTCTGGTGGGGGGACTGAGCTGCACATCTCAGAATGCTGAGCAGCTAAGGGTCCACACAGTCCCAGCTCCTCGGGGCCCAGTCTACCCTGCTCCGGCATCGCTGCCCTAGTCAGACGACTGGATCAGACTCCATCCTTGAAACAGTGGCTGAGAAGCAAATGTCCAATCGCCATTAAGTTTACTTAGTGTAATACGATTTGCCGCCATTTAACAATTAGTATGTCTCAAATTATTTCTCTGCAAGAGAGCAAACCACAAATTCATTAATTTATTCATTTAACTAGTGAATTGAATGGATATACTAAATATTCCATTTTAAGTACTTTCCTAGCCCTGAATGGACAGTTGTACACCCCAAGGTTAGCAGACAAATAAAAAGCATTTCCAAAGCACCCACATGCAAAACAGACACATGGCCAGTGAACGGCCAGGCCCGCGTCCTTGCATCTGACTTCTCATCTCCGAGGTCACAGTTGTCCCTGCTCAGCCAGTGCCACCTGCTAGTGCTCAGGTGTGAAGCCATGTCAGACCCAGGTCCTCACCTGGGCAATAGGAGCAGGAGGAAGGTGTCCAGGAACGAGTACAGTGACATATTTACTCACATAATCAATGTTTATTCAGAGTGTGTTATGGTCTAGATGTGAGGTGTCCTGCAAAATGATTGGATGACAAGAGGTTTAACAATGGTGGTGAAATGATTGGATGACAAGAGGTTTAACTTCATCGGTACATTGATCCCTGATAGGGATCAACTTGGTGATATCCACAGGCAAGTAGGGTGTGGCTGCAGGACGTGGGCCCCTGGGGGCTGGCCTTTGGGGTTTATATTTTATTCTGGTGAGGAGTGCTCTCTCTCTCTCTCTCTCTCTCTCTCTCTCTCTCTCTCTCTCTCTCTCTCTCTGCTCTCCAGTGCCATGTCCCTGGCTGCTTCCCTCCACCATGCCTTTCCACCATGATTCTGCCTCATCTCTGACCCCGAGGAATGGAGCTGCTTGTCTATGGACTGAGACTCTGAAACTGTGAGCCCCAAATAAACGTTTTCTCCTTTAATTGCTCTTGCTAGTTCTTTTGGTCTCAGAGATAAAAATGCTGTCTAACACCGTGCTGCGTACTGACAGTCTGGCGTTGAGAAAAGCTGATGTAATCTCACATGGCTAGCAGTCTAGGAAGGAGGAGGCGGTGAGAAACAAGGAGAAAGTACCCGGGAAACCAGGATGACCATGGGGTCCACGGCGTGTACCTGTCTTGGCCTGAGGAGTGTCTGTTGTGGCTTGAACACATGCCCCTCAATTCTGTGACACTCCTCCCATAAAGTGGAGTCTAATTCACCTCCTGAAGAATGGGAGGTGCCTTTGCTGATACCTCTAACAGAATGTGTCTGCAGAGGAGCCATGTGACACAAGAGGCCAGACACCTAAGGCAACACAGCTCTGCCCGGCTCCGTCCCTCTGGGGACCCGCCCTTGGAGCCCAGCTGCTGTACTGCCAGGAAGTTCAGGATATGGCTCTGCCGTGTGTAGGTGGACCGGCCGAGCTTTTCAGTGATTCCAGCTGCCCCTTCTGAGCTTAAACAGAGCACAGAGGAGCTACCTTCACACACCCCTGTTCAGACTGAGATTTGTGAGTGTGACAAATGTCCCTGTTCAAAGCCACTGAACTTGGGGGTGGTTTCTTGCACGGGCGCGTAACATTCACAATACACAGCTTTGAGAAATGCCTGGATATTTGTAGCGGGTGCGCGGAGTCTCCTGCAGCTCAGGAAAGATTCCACGAGGCAGACACGCACATGCTCTCCAGGAACTCACGCAGGGTGTGACGAGCCAGCACCACGCAGAGGGCCACTCCCGTGCGCAGTACAAGGACGAAGGTGACCACCACAGCGCTTCCTGTGCCTATGAGGCTTTCGGTTTGGGCAGCCCTCCGAGGACGGGCTAGAATGGAAGAATTGGCAAAATAAAGCTAGATCAGATATCAGAACACTTCTGCATTTGAAATCTTTTTACTATTATGAAAACATCTATGTAACAGCCCATGCACCATCTGCGTGTGCAGTCCTGGGGTATTTCCTGCACTCACCACCACCGAGCTCCGAAACGTTTCCATCACCCACCAAAATCCCTCCTGCCCATGGGAGAGTGGTTGCTCCCCCCAGATGTTCCTGGCAACCAAGAGTCTATTTTCTGTGTCTATTTTGGATATTTCCTGTAAACGAAGTTGTACGACACGCAGCCTCGGGGTCTGGCTCCCTCTGCTTGGCACACTCTCCAGGTTCATCGTCACTGAGTTTCGTCAGTTCTTCATGTATTACTGTGGCTGAGTAGTGTTCCAGTGTGTGGGCATGCCACTGTGTCAATCCAGATGCAAAGTGACGGACATCTGGGTTGTTTCCACCTCGGGCTACTGTGGACACTGCCACCAGGAACATTCTTGTACAAGTTTTTGTTTGAATGAGCAT